TTACAAAAAAGAAAAATACCGTTGTAACAGTTGACCAAAGCAGTCGACCTGGTGAACTTTTTTTATTCAGCTTACGCATTTATTAATACGCCGGTATGAAAAAATTTGTTGACACTGGCGTATTAAAAAATGCGTAAGCTGAGCGTACACAGAACTCAGCAAGCTATGAATGAAACTTTTATAAGCTCTTAGTGTGTAATTTTTATTATATTATTTTGACGTTAAAATGGGTCAAAGCGCTAGAGCGGACAGGCACAGTGTGCGAGTTCGGAGCAGAGCGCCTGACGGGTAGGCCTGCCCGTCGCGCACGCTTGTTCGACGGGCAGGCCTACCCGCCAGGCGCTTCCGTTATAGCGAGCCACTGAAGAGGCTAGCCCGGCAAGCAGGCCAAAGTTCGAATTCGAAAATTGCGCGCCCCCGTAGCGCGAGACAGAGCAGCCTCAACCCCCCCGCGGAAGTCCGAAGCAGGACCTGCGGACCTGCGCAGCAGGACGGAATACCCGCGCAGGGCTCATGACAACCCTCGCGGAATGTCCACTTTGCGCGAATTATGCCAATAAACCACGTGACGAGAAAAGTGTTTGTGAAACACGAATATAATCTCCGAAACTCCAGGCCATAGGGCGGCGGGACGGGTGGAGCGCCAACGACGGGGGCCAAGCCAACCCGCCGGACACCCGACCGGTCTGAGGCGCTCCTCGTCTGTGTTGAACCGTGCCGGGTGCCGGAGCGAGCAGCGCCACTGCCGTTCACACACCTACAAGTGCGCGACATTCGTACTCATGGGTTTGACGCCTGACTGCCGGGGAGAGCGCCTGCGACATGGGCCTACCCGGCAAGCACGCGTGCCCAGCGGCTCTGCCTACCCGCACAGGCGCTCCACTCTGCAGCTGCGCTATAACACATTTGATCTGGAATTGTAGGATTTTGTGAAAACTCCATCAATTTAGATCAAAGACAAGATTTGGTCATTTTTGGTGGCCAGCAGTGATGGCATTTTGAAACTCTGTTAAAAATGCTGTAAGGAAGTATAGTTTGCGTGCGATACGTCCTGTATGTTTTATGTTCGGGCCGGACCCTAAAAGAGATGAACTTCAGTGTCTAAGTCAAGTGCTGTATTGACCAAAAAGACGGTTTGTTAAGTTACGGTGACCGTAATCCAAAATTACAGTCGCGGACGCTGTAGCAAATTGACAGTGCACACTGTAGACATTTCCTGTAGTTTTTTTAACAGTGAAATTGCCACCAAATGACCAAATCTCGACTTTGGCAGCACTTATGTTATTTTGACAACATCTTTAAAATTCACGCTATGTCGCAGTACGAGACGTTTTGCTGGGTTTAGTCATTCCATAATTTTCAAATCAGATTTGTATACGTTTTTGTTGATATTTCGGTACTAGTCCCAATGTTGATTTCCTTTCTTCTCTTCCATAGTGGGACTACCCTCATTGGGCATAGCGGAGTACACCTTCAAATTCATAAACAATCTGTGGCCGGGGAAGGATGGCCACTTAACAAACCAAAACATAAGTCTTTTTTAATGCCAAATTTTGACATTATTTCAGAGGATTCGAAATTTTGACATTCCAATGGGCCAAACGATTCGATTTCTATGAGAAAGACAAAATTTGGCGTTTTAAAAAAATGAAGAAAATGTTGGCAGGCAATACGACCACGACGTGTAAAGCAACATCATACGTGCGCCCCCCCCCCCCTCATCCGCCCCACCTTACCGGCAAATCTCCCCCGGCTATATCCTGTATAGTTCTTTACATGTCTGGCAAGTCAGCCCCTGCGAGTCCCATCTCTAGCTCTGATCTGGGTGTCCCTCCTTTCTGCCTCTTCGTCGCCTCTACTTTTAGCCCCCTTTCTCCCTCGCCCTCTTTCTGCCTGCTCTTCTACGTACGTCCCCCTTCTATCCTATCTCTGTCCCACCATCCATCCGTCTCTCTCTCTCTCTCTCTCTCTCTCTCTCTCTCTCTCCCCCTCCCTCTCTCTCCTCTCTGCACGCTTTCGCTCGCTCGCTCTCCAGCCACAGGCAGCCTCCCGCTCTCTACCACATCTCTCCCCGCTCTCCGCGCCGCTCGCCGAGCTCCCTGGGTCAGGATCAATACGCTGATAGCGAAGAGAAAGAGAAGGCGCGCGGGAGAGGCTGCGGGACAGAGAGGGATAGAGGGACGCAGAGGGAGGAAAAGGGAGAATGAGAGAGGGAGGAGGACGGGAGATAAAACGGAGAGCGAACATGCAGGAAGACAGAGAAAGGAATGGAAAAGGGAGATGAGGGAGGGTAGAGGGGGGGGGGTAAAAAGATACAGGGGAACACGAAGTTGGAGTGAGGGGCAGAGAGGGCAGAGGAGCGTGGGGCTTCATGGAAAAAAAAGGAATAGAGCAAAAATAAAGAACAAGTTGGCCGACCTGGTCGGTCCGGCCGCAGCTCTGGTCCGCCAGCCGCGGTCCATGTACCTGCCACCCCCATCCCCGTACCCCCTTCTTTTTATCTATTTTTTGTATGGAGTTGGGGGTCAAGAAGAAGGGGGAAAGGGAGAGGAAGGCAATGACACCTTTCTCCAGTAGCTGGTCTTTGAGCCAAAACACTAGTCTGGATGGTGTATGTAGCGTCAGGCCAGCGACCAGTTAGCTGGCTAAGGGAGTAAGAGACAATGAAGCACACTCATGAGTCAACCTCAACCCAATCAAGAAGAAAAAGCGGAACACACTTTCATACCGTTGGAAAAATTTAGCCATATTTAGTACGAAACACGGAAGAATGGTCTGCTACAGCCAATCCAGGAGTAAGCACTCGACGAAGACGTCAATCAAACATCGCACTTACGTCCAGTTAGATGCTAGTGACTACTGACGTACAATCGAAGTCAACGTTTCTCACCGGGTATCGGGTGTTTTGGTGCACGGGCTGATGCGGGTGGGTTTGCCTAGTTCCTCTGGGATCGTTCAGAAAGTATATATCAGCTTTCATCCGATTCATTCGGCAAATCAAGAGAGCTCGGCGCCTGCTAGAGTCGGGTTAGGCCACCCTGCAGAACACGCATGCACCGCAGGCAAGACGTGGCCTACCCTTCAGGCGCCATGAGGCTATGGTTTATGGTTCGCACTATCTGGATGATCCAAAAGTCGCCACAGCTCATGTGAGTAGACAAACCCGCCCGCGACGGTGCGTGCGCCGAAACACCCGGTACATACAGCGTGTGCGACGTCACTTATTTCAGAACAGGACGGAGTGCTATTTTTACACAATACAACAGCCCCTAAGGCAACACTGCTGTGTCTTAGCCCTGGCAGTTTTAGAGTATTAATAATCACTTTCCTAATTCCGACACCACCCGTTTTAGTATGGCAATGATCCCTTTCTTGTATAGCTAGTATAGCTCGGGTATTTCCAGAGAAGATTTTTTATTAAATAAGTACAGAAGACCTTGATGTGAGACGCAGGCTAGAATGTGAATTGATTTTAAAGTAATCCTGTTAGGCTATGCGCAGTTGAAGGGCATAGCTGCATAGTTTCGAAAGCCGGGTCGGGACACCACCAGCAACAGATCATGTACCGGGCGATTGAGAGAAGACACAGGAGCGCGCGGGTTTGCCAACCCAAGGGGCTATGGCGCCTTACGGACAGATCGGGTAGGCAAACCCGCCCGTACGCTCCTGCGTCTTCTCTGAATCACCTGGTATTGTAGTGGAGACTGGAGAGCCGCAGAGGTCGAACTTTGTACTTCTTGGCAGCAGTGAATGGCGAGAGAGAATTACCTCTCCTACTCCCATCCTAGAAATCCTGCATTGAATACAGTGCCTCCACAATCGCAGGCTGTTGCTGGCTACTCGCTTTTGCGCCTATGCTTTAACGGGCGGAGGAGGGAGTAGCCCGCAACAGCCCGCAATTTTTGGGGCACTGATTGAATATTCTCGCCCTGCAGACAACGACAACGGTGCTGTAAATTTCCTCGCTCTTACGCCAAGAGGATGTTGGTCGAAGCTGCTCACAAAACTCGTGCTACAAGGTGTCAGTCTAACAAAACAAAATAAATGTAAAAAAAAAAGAATCCTACATTTGCCACGGAGTAGTTTACAATGGCCTCCCTGCAAAATTTAAAAGCTGTAGGTCAACGAGTGTGCGTAAAATCGCACGCGCAAAATTTTTGAACTGAAATTTTAAAGACCTTGGAAAACAAAGCAACTTTTGTGATTGTTACATACTAAAATTAGTTTAAACCCTTAAAGGTGCAAGGAGTTTAATACTGCTAGTCGATTTAGGATACATATCACAGTTTTCTGTGAAGAAAATATGCAAAGATGATGAAAAGACTGCAGTTTAGAGAGCCCCCCCCCCCCCCTTTACCCCCTTGGAGTGATAACTGAGAAACCTCACATGCGAACCTAAAGTAGTCTAAAAAATGCGAATATCACCTCTCTGAAAATGGAGCTCAAGTGAGGAGGCTCAAAAAATGACTGCTTTATACCGAGCTTTTGTTGTTGTACCCACACTCCCCAACATACATTTCTCCTAAAACATGTCAACGTTGACAGTTGTACTTGTAACTGAAACCGCACACACACTGGAAACGCAAGTGTGTGAATGTCGGTCACTTGTAGGTGAGCAAATATCCATTCGTACACTTACGGGGGGTAAACGTGTGAATTTTTTCTCTAGAAAATTTACACCTTTACCCCCCGTAAGTGTACGAATGGATATTCGCTCACCTACAAGTGAGCGACATTCACACACTTACGTTTCCAGTGCACTTATTTTTGCTCATTTGAGTAATTTGCACCTCAGGACATTCTTTCTGTACACCGGACGAATTTAACTGAAGGACATTCACACTTTGCAACAATGAGACCTTACGTCAGTGCTCTTGCAGCAGGAGTATTAGTCCAGTATGCTGCAGATTCCGTGTATTTCTCGTGTGCTGTGCCATTTTTACCAATCCCAGCCACCCTATTAGCGCAACATTAGAGCAGGATGAGGTGGTGAGGTGGAGGACAACGAGCCGCACGCGCTGTTTTCAAATTTGTGATCATCTGTTCCCATGCCCCCCCCCCCCCCTCTTTTC